GGATGAATGGATGGATGAATGCTTGCATGGATGGATGGATGCATGGATGAATGGATGGATGAATGCATGGATGGATGGATAGATAAATACTTCACCTTGGCTACAGTATACTAAAGGGGGTCTTAGAGGATCACAAGCGCCCGCGAGGATCACAAGTGCAGAAACCTGCACTTCACATTTAGTCATCTATTATTCCAGAAAGGATCCTCCCACTGATCCTATTTTGGACACCGCCCATTGTGGGAATCCCCGTTAAAAAAGCACCCAAAGTTTTTGTATTAATAGGGTGGCATTTTCTTTATACAGTAGGTGGAAGGGATTACAACTCTGTGGCTGGGCCTATTCATAGACACACCGTGAGCTGGCCCGCGCCGCCTTCAAGCTGTTTAAAAGCTCCAAGCACTTGAGAAGATGGAACTGCGATGTGTTAAGAGTCGCGGAGATATGGGGTCGCTCCTCAGTTCCTCGAACGACAAGGGACATTTTTTGATGTGGGAAGCCAAGTCTCCGTGCTCCTCTTCATAATTCACCTCTTCACAAGGTTCACATCTCTGTTGCATCTCTTGGAGGCTCTGGCTCCGCAGTACATCGGCCACCGAAATAGATTGATGCAGCTCCTTACCTGAGACCAGGTGCGGTTCGCGGTTCAAATCATTGGCTACAGTATTTACAGTATATCTACTGTGGATGGTTATATGTTATACTGATTTTATGTATGATGTTTACCTTATGTTACTGTGGATGATTACATATGTATGTTACATCCCTTTGGATGGCAAACCCATGGCCATCCTAACTACTAGACTGACGGACCCTACGCCACGGTCATCTCAAACTGTGAAGACCTGACGACTGGCGTGGTGTGATCCAAAACTGAGCGAACGGCGAACACCACCCAATGTATTTCAAGAGGGTCCTCTTCATCCCCGGACGAAACGTACCATCTTCCATCTTCCCCCCGCGGACGTGTCCACCGCCCAGTGACGGATCAACTCAGCCAACACTGTGGCCTGCAACGAGTCCAAGCAAAGCATGGATGGGTCGCCCCCCGCACGCGCCACGAGCGTCGCCAGCGTGCCATGGCCATCGCCCACCGCGGTCGACGGCGAGGCGGAACTCGCGTGCTCGTCCACGTCCGCGGCGCGGCGTGCGCAGGGCACCTCCGCAGAGAGTCACCGGCTTAACATCTATTGTGTGGTCGAAGTGGGGATATGTTGAAGCATAGCTAAGATGACGTCTTTCACGTCTTTCCATATGTCTACAGTATCTATGTGGCATTCAAAACATCTTGAATCTTGGTTCCGTGTCTGTCGCATGCAAGCTGCCAAGGTGACAGTTCCAGGACTGAAGGTCGCAGGGCTCCACGGGGCCCTGAATCAACAATCTGTGGGGGTTCTCGATCCGTGGGGGTTCCTCCAAGATTTTTTCAGGGATCCACATGCCTTCTCAAACTCTAGAGGGTACTTGGACCCTCCAAGCCTACATAAATGTGTCTGAAACCCATCTCAAAGGGCTGTGGATGCATGGGGATCTGGAACTGCAAGGAATCAACATCCTTTATGGAGTGAAGCTGGCCGTTCTAGGCGTCTCTTCTGCTTGTTAGGCACCCCTTGGTTTCGGCGTCTGGCTTTCTGCCAGGTGCAAAACACTGTTGGGGACATGGTGTGTTTAAATAAGCAGGACCGGTCCTTAGAATCCCTAGTTGCAAGTATAGCTGTAACTCAATTCACGTAGTCACGTAGCTGATCTACTGGGCGGAGCCCAGTCTCTTCACGCCTGGATCTCCTCTGAGAACTCGACGGCTAAGGAGAGCCCAGAGTTGCCTTTGGCCACACGCACCGGGCCCACACTGTCCAAGATACTGAAGGAACGGCCGTGGTCTTCCCAAGCCCAACTGGCAGCCCAAGGGATCTTTGGAATGATGAAGAAGCGGATCAGCAAGTCTTTCAGCCTTCGACGAAGGAAGTTCTTCTCCAAATGCCAAGTGAGCTCATCGCCAAGCCATTTCGGCAGCACCAAATAGAAGCAAAGAGGCAGGCTTGGCAGCAAGAAGCGGTCATCATGTGGAAACATAAGATCCCAAATGATGCATCCTCCACAAAGTGATAGTTGAGTGGCCAATGGCAAGAATGGGGACACAACACCCACTGCCAGCATTGGCAGGGCAGCGACCCTTTCCTTGCACAATGAAGAGACAAACAAGCAAGAATTACACAACAAAAGGAGTTGTTTGGGCTACACTGGTCAATGTAGGCATATGCCATACATGGAGTGTCTGGGAAGGATTCGTTTTGAACTGGTCGTTAATCGAGTTCCAGGGCTCTCGTCGCACACACACCAGCAGCGCGCATGCCCAGACTTGCGCAGTGCAAAGCAAGAACGAGGGCAGCACCCCGACGAGAATGAGTAGAAGCTCCGGAGGGCAAATGCAGCTCTCGTAGGCCGCCCTTTCTCGCTTGCTCGACAATGGCAGGAGTGGTGTGTAGGCCAAAGCTCCCCACATGTAGGGAAGCAAAAGCAAACGTAGGGGTATGGACCACAAAGACTTCAGGTCCAGAAACCCCCCAACAAGAGTCGCCCAAACCAAATACAGCAAGGCCACAGGATACCAGCTGCAGTATGCCCTAAGCATCTGCCTTTGAATCCACCGCTTCTGCTCCTCATATGTCAGCTCTCTTTGCAACAAGGTGTCCAACTGTGCCTGCAGCTGAAGCCGATCCACTTTCCCCGTCACCGGATGTCTTGGTAGCTGGGTGCGGAAATGCACACGCGCGGTGGGGCCACAGATTTTCTGGGCTTCCTTCTGAACCTGAGGCGTTCTCGGGGTGTGCAGCTTGAGACCGTAAGGAGACCCAGCTTTGTCTGGCCAACCTGTGTTTCATGGAAGGGTAGGGGGGGTTGTGGGGGGGGGGCTCTTGGCCTTATGCTTAGGGCCTTGACAAGTGAGCATGGGTTAATTATCAATTTCTAATGTTAATGCAGTTTTGCACAAATAGCGCCCCTTTGTTTTTTTGCCCACGTGTTTTGTGACATTGTGGCCATGGCACAAACGCTTCAAAACCACCAACACAAACCATTTGCACCCCCAAAAGAGCAATTTTTGGACCCTCTGGATAAGCACTGGATATAAGCACTGGATAAGGGGGAATCAGCAGGGCAGGAGGGTTTTTGGATAAGCCCTGATTAAGCCTCTGATAAGCCAGAATCCAGCCCCCAGGTGATGCAAGAAACGTGGCCCCCAAAATCAGCCCCATTGGCCTATTGCATGTGACAAAACAAAGCTACAAAAAAGTCACCACAATGATCCCGCCCTGGTAAATGTATTTCTGGCGGAGGGGGTGATTCAATACTATCAGAAGGCTAACCAAAGCTATTAAGGCTCCAATAGGGCCTTATTCATAAGCTTCTATTAAAGCCTTAATAGGCCTGGTGAAGACTCTGTTAAAGGCTTAACCAAAGCAATTAAAACTTTAATACCAATGGATCACTTCAGCCAGCAAACAGCTGCCAAAGCATAAGGCAATAGCCCCCCCCATAGCCCCTCGACCCTTCCATGAGTGTTGAAACATACTGTGTTTATACAACATGTACTCTATTATATATGCAAAATAGCTTTCTGTCTATTTCTGTATGCAAATAGGTATGCACAAATATACACAATATTCCGGGCACACAAAAAATCTATGCAAAGCTGCAACCAGCACAAACATGTGCTCCGAGCGTGCCAAATGCTCAGAGTCTGTGTCTGAATGAATGAACTCCCTTTACTTTCAGCTTGCTTGCTTGGGCCAGTGCATCCTCTAAACACAACCAAACGCAGCGCTTGGAACAAATCCATCGGGAGTGCAAAACACATGGACTATCACTTGCATAATCCTTGCAGTGATGTCCCAAAGCAGAAACAAACCTGTGAAAGGCGGAAGATGAGTGAACAATAGAAACTAAAAGTGTGAACAAAGGTGTTCATCTTTGCGATGCTGGTAGTTCTGCCGTGGACACCTAGACTACCAGTCCTGTCATATCCTGTCATCACGCGCACAAACACAACCTCTCACCACCCAAGTACACGCTGGAGTGGAATGGTCAACTCCTCCTCAAGCGTGCAAAACGCCTCCAGTCTTTCACCACCCAGAATTGCACAGCTGAGCATGCCAGGCAAAGCCTCAGGTGTTGAGAACATTACAGCTGTTTGCAACAACATGGCCATTTGTGGGATTCCCACTCACCTCTTTGTTGACATTTTCTGGATTTCACAAGGTAAGGTGGGACCACCCTACTAAACAATATCTAAACAGGATTGGCGATAACATGGGATCTTGAGTGCGCATACTCTCTCGTTTCGGCCTGGCATCGTGCGAAACTGAACATGCCAGTCTTCTTAATACATTCGGTGGGATGCCCGCAGGATGTCCAATGGTTGTCAGGTCAACCTGTGGGACCACTTACTCGCTGGAAATCGCTATTAAGTTGTCTGGCAAAATCATAATATATATGGTCAGTTCAATCTTGGATACTTGCTGAACAGGGTTAAACATGTCACCCTGGATCACTGATCTCTCAATACATGGAGGTGCTTGGCAGGTCCCCCAAAAAAGAAACACATCGACCAGTTCGCGCGTGAACAGTTCAGGGCCTTCTAAAGCATTGAAAGAAACACCTTCAAGATCAAATTTCCACACCGAGAAGCTTGCAGTCTCTCACTCAGCTCCTCCAAATCCACAAACTGCCCGCCTTTCTTGGCGAGGGAGCCAGTGCGGCCACAGTAGACCAAGCGCTTGGCGGAGACCCATCTCAACCTGATATTATATGCATGTATATGTGCAAATATTATACTGTATACGTGCACAGAGCATCTCAAAGAGAATGATGATCAATCGGGATACCAATTTCCAAATAAGGATGGAACACCCCAAACAATTGACAAAGCATGACAATGACAAAGCACCACCCAGCAACTTATCCCGAGTACGCAAATAGCGGACACCCTGATGCACATAGTCGCTATGTTCGGTGCTCTCACTCGGGCCGATGAAACCGTCAGTGATGTAGCCTGGAGACACAGTAGCCCCGGTGAGAATCATCTCTCCCTCATTGCCTGGAGCATTTGGAAGCACCAAACCGTCGTTCAACAAATGCATCTGAAGCTTGGGCAAAGGAATCAGCAAGTGCTTCTCACGACCCGTTGCGGGATCCCGGTACACGTCGCAGTGGCTGTAAAGGGCTAGCCAATACTCACTCGCAATGAGAAGGTCGACCAAAAAGCAAACCTTTCTCCAAGGCTTGGATACCTTCACTGACAAGGCCTCGCCCCAGGTGAGGATGACTTTCAATGAAGGAGCTTTAGATTCAGGGCCACCAGGGTAAGTGGCGCGCAAGAGTGATGGGACGGTGCCCAGTACCGAGATCTCATGCTTGGCGATGAGGGGAGCTAATTTCTCAGCCTCAGGATCCGAGAACACCACGCAAGCGCCAAAGGCTAAGGCGATGTCAATCTGTCCAAAGGCTGCAGCTCCCCAGTAGGCTGAGGTGAATTGCAAAACACGATCTGCACTGCTCACATGGCCCTGCATGACAATGTGGTAATTCTGCAATTCCCACAAGGCCATAGCATGACTCACCACCACACACTTGCTGTGCTTGGTGGTTCCTCCGGTGTAGGTGTAAAGCAACACCGAGTCAGGGCCCGTGAGAGGCCCAGACTTGGAAGCTTCAGTGCCAGTCTCAATGGCAGCAAGGATATGCTCCATACTGAAGGATACCTTCGCAGATCAGGGGCATGTTTCAGGGCATGAATCCAACTGATTTGGTTGATGGGGTTCAAACATCATGCGTTCCAACATAGCCCCCCCCTCCCCTCTCCCCGAACCCCACAAAACAAAGGAAAAGCATCGCAATCGATGCCAACATGCGCAATCGTTCGGCATGCTCTTGGTGGCAAAGCCTATTGCCACTCGTGGACGAAGCTCTTTTGCAAGCCGTTCAGCCCGTTGGGCTTGTGATGCCTTGTCCGGCATCTCATCATTGGCTACCACCTGGTGAGACGGGTATATAGGTGAACCCTCCACCAGGGAACAGCAGGGAAGGTACTGCGGAACAGCAGGGTCAAAAAATATCCACATCCAGGACCTTCAACATGGCCTCTTTGGAGTCTCTAAGTGACCTTTTACAGCCCTAAGTGACCTCATCCTGCGATATCAAGTTCGGTCACTTTGAAGGTCCTGGATTCGCCGTTTCCGGAGCCTGTTTCCGTTTCTCCTTCGTTGGAGACCGACCAAATCTGGAAAAAACAAAAATTCACCTCTTCGGCAAGTCCAGGCCACCGGCACTCCAAGGCGCCAGCAAGCGTAGCAACAGGCGTACCACGCATTTCCACGTGGAAGTCCCAGGGCAGCTGGTCGAGGTGGCCGTCCCTATGGCGATCGCCAGGCGAGACGGGGGGGGGTCTGGACAGTTTAATATGGTTTAATGACGTTTCATGCACCTGTGGTCACCAGTTGTCCTTTCCTTCTGCTCCTGTTCCTGCTCTCTCTCTCTCTCTCTCTCTCTCCCTCCCTCCTCTCTTCCTCCCTCCATCGCCCTCTCCAAGAGTTCCATTCCTTCACGAGCAATCGAACCTTGGATCCTTGTTTCATGAATTTCAGCTTCATGATCTTCACCGTCGTTTCGGCGCTTCATCGTCGTTTCATGATCCCATCATTCAAGGCGGTTTAACCATGCTAAAAGCAGTGACAACTTGTGCGTCAAAATGAAGGCTTGAACACTTGAAAACACATATTCAGCGATTGACGCGGAACACGTTTGATGGCTGCAGGCCATTGAAACTGGTGTGCCGTTGTGGTGAACATGCAAAAAAACGTGTGGTGCCTCTCAGAAAACTTGGCCCGAAAGCCATGATTGAATCATGATCATGAGTGCAAAAGCACAAGGGCCCACAACAACGTTAAGTTGACACCAACAACATGCCATGCCCAAACCTTTGCCACCTTCAATGCCCAAGGAGTCCTTGATGTCTCCATTTTCGGCGAGCAGTGGAGCTAGCAAAGCGGCCACACGCAAGGATGCACGGTGCAGCTGCTGATAGCTCCAAGAAGCTCCTGTCCGGGCTTCAAGGCTTGCTGGAACATCTGGCTGTACCACCGCAAGGTGGTCGATGTAGCAGTGAAGACCCTGGAAGTCCATCTGAACAGCCACGGCAGCTATCAGTTAGTGCGAGTGAATGCATGCCCCCTGAGCCGCAGGCCACAGGCAGCCACAGGCATCAAACACATTCTGTATATGTACTTAGTGTTGCCTCGGATTCATGTTGTAGATTGTTGTGGAATGCATTCGGAAACGCTAAAAACTAGCAGTAAGTTAAGACTTATTCTGTTTCATTGTATTGCTCTGTGTATCAACATGTATCAACTCTAAAATGCCTGCACATGACAGCCAAATGAGATGTCAAACTAGCCCCGTGCTTCCAAAAACATTCAAACAAATTGTCTGGGTCATACTTCGGATGTCCATCCCCAACTTTGGTCTTCAGAAAGCTTCTGATCAGTACACATGATTCCTTCAATCATCATGTAGGAATGTTGCGCCACCACCTTCGGGCAAAACATGCAGCGGCGCTGGACTTTCATGAGAGTCAATTCTCCAAACAGCATGCCATGAGGACTGCCCTCAGGCTTCAGGTCCTGCTGTTAGGGCCCCCAGTTTCTGTGAACAACCACCACCCTTGGCACAAGGAAAAACAAAACTCCGGCACTGTCAGGGATACCCCTAACAGTGCAAAAACGTGTAAAACATGCCCCGAACTAAAACGGTGTACAGAAAATCCCAGTTTCAAAAGTCTGTGGTCTGTGATGCCTTTGTGCTACCAGGCACCAGGTTCTTCAAAGTGACCGCCTCAAGAACATTTCAGTTCCCATCCTCAACCTTCCTCAACTGGCCCCATGAAATCCATGAACAAGGACGCGAACTCAGAATATGGTCATGGCCTGTATTCTGTACATGGCATGTATTTTCGACTTCATATCACTAATACTCGAAAAATCATCATTGCAATTCCAAGGGCCCTGAGCCAGTCGCGACCTCCGCCCGTTCCGCCCTGAGCCAGCGGCGGAACGCCTGACCTGGTCGCGCCGTCTGCAGAAACGCGGTCAGGCCCGTCATCGATATGCCAAGCTGTTCTACTCAACGTTCGGAAGCCAAAGGTATAGGTTTACCGCACTCTTTGAAGATGATGCAAGGATACGTCACGATATGTGACGCATTCGTACAACCTTAGCAAGGGAAGCGTTTCTGGCGCTCATTGTCTCTGTGGTCTGCATGTTTCTCAAAAGCACCCTTCCGGAACGCGTTCCATCAACGTGCATCCAAACCAAAACGTGTTCCACATGAATAAGTGGTAAGCTGCCCACCGCCCAGCTCAACGCGTCACCCGTACGCGTCGGGCGCTTTGAAGCCACGGGCGCTTTGAAGCCACGGCCGGTATAGTCCCAGCGCGGTCCGCCCAGCCAAACGCCACAAACCCTCCTGGAAGAATCCACCTTCTTGGAAATTCGCTGAACCGGGAATCCGGGAAAGCATCAACAACATTCAAACATCACACCACCAAAGACCCTTTTCCGGTGTCCGCCCTTTTCCGGTGGCCATGTAGCATTTGTATTTATTTGTGTCCCAGGTCTGTCGCTGCTGGTGTCCGCCTTTGTCCGCTGGCGATGCAACATTTCTATTCATTTGTCTCCCAGGTCTGTCACTGGTGGTGTCCGCCCTTTTCCGCTGGCCATGTAGCATTTCTATTCATTTGTCTCCCAGGTCTGTCACTGATGGTGTCTGCCCTTTTCCGTCGGTCATGTAGCATTTCAAATAACTTGTCTCCCAGGTCTGTCGCTGCTGGTGTCCGCCCTTTTCTGGTGGCCATGCAGCATTTCCATTCATGTGTCTCCCAGGTCTGCCACTCCTGCTGTCCGCCCTTTTCCGCTGGCGATGCAACATTTCTATTTGTCAGGTCTGTCGCTGCTGGTGTCCGCCCTTTTCCGTTGCCCATGTAGCAATTCTATTCTTTTGTCTCCCAGGTCTTTCACTGGCGGTGTCTGCCCTTTTCCACTATGTTTTCAATTCATTCCCACACAGTTTACTGTTAGGGGTTCTCCATCTTTCTTGAAATGTGTCCGCCCTTTGTGTCACTGCCGGTGTCCGCCCTTTTCCGCTGGCCATGTAGCATTTCTATTCATTTGTCTCCCAGGTCTGTCACTGTGGTGTCCGCCCTTTTCCGCTCCATGTAGCATTTCTATTCATTTGTCTCAGGTCTGTCACTGATGGTGTCCGCCCTTTTCCGTTGGTCATATAGCATTTCAAAGCACTTGTCTCCCAGGTCTGTCGCTGCTGATGTCCGCCCTTTTCCGTTGGCCATGCAGCATTTCCATTCAATGTGTCTCCCAGGTCTGCCACTGCTGGTGTCCGCCCTTTTCCGCTGGCGATGCAACATTTCTATTCATCAGGTCTGTCGCTGCTGGTGTCCGCCCTTTTCCGTTGGCCAAGTAGCAATTCTATTCATTTGTCTCCCCTGTTATATAGGGGTTCTCCATTCTTTCTTAAGATGGGTCCGCCCTTTGTGTCACTGCTGGTGTCCGCCCTTTTCCGCTGGCCATGTAGCATTTCTACGCATTTGTTCCTGCTGGTGTCTGCCAGGCGATGCAACATTTCTATTCATTTGTCTCCCAGGTCTGTCACTGGTATTTCTATTCATTTGTCTTCCAGGTCTCTGGTGGTGCCTGCCCTTTTCCGCTGGCGATGTAGCATGTCCATTCATAGCCTGTCACTGCTGCTGTCCGCCCTTTTCCCTTGGCCATGTAGCATTTCTATGCATTTGTCTCCCAAATCTGTCGCTGGTGTCCGCTGTCAGTGGTGGTGTCCGCCCTTTTTCCGCTGGCCATGTAGCATTTCTATTCATTTGTCTCCGAGGTGTGTTGCTGCTGGTGTCCGCCCTTTTCCGTTGTCCATGTAGCATGTCTATTCATTTGTCTCCCAGGTCTGTCACTGCTGGTGCAGCATTTCTACTCATTTGTCTCTCAGTTGATTTCTGCATTTCCCCCAATAGGTTACTGTTACGGGGTCGTAAATGCTTTCTAAGAGTGTCCGCCTTGCTGCCGGACAGAGAGTCCGCCTTCCTTGGTCTCCCTTCCTGTTGGTCACTGTGCCCCCCTTCTTGTTGGTCACTGTGTCCGCCTTGTCTCCCTTCTGTTTCCTTTTGTCTCCCTTCTTGTCTCCCTTGTGTCCGCCTTGTCTCCCTTCATTCTTTATGTGTTTCCTTTTGTCTCCCTTCTTGTGGGTCATTATGTCCGTCTTGTCTCCATTCTGTTTCCTTTTGTTTCCCTTCTTGACTCCCTTCTTGTTGATCATTGTGTCCGTTCCCCTCTTGTTGGTCATTGTGTCCGCCTCGGCCCTTCTGTCTTCCTTTGTCTCCGATCTTGTCTCCCTTCTTGTGGGTCACTGTGTCCGCCTTGTGTTTCCTTTTGTCTCCATTCTTGTTTCCTTTTTGGTTGGTCATTGTGTCCGCCTTGTCTTTGTCTGCCTTCTTGTCTCCCTTCATTGTGTCCGCTTTGTCTCCGGTCTTGTCTCCCTTCTGTTTCCTTTTGTCTCCCTCCTTGTTGGTCATTGTGTCCGCCTTGTCTTCCTTCGGGTTTCTTTTTCCCCCAAACAGTTTACTGTTAGGGGTTCTCAATTCTTTCTTAAAATGTGTCCGCCCTTTGTGTCACTGCTGGTGTCCGCCCTTTTGCGCTGGCCATGTAGCATTTCTAGTCATTTGTCTGCCAGGCCTGTCACTGCTGCCGTCTGCCCTTTTCCGCTGGCGATGTAGCATTTCTATTCATTTGTCTCCGAGGTCTGGGCCATGTAGCATTTCTATTCATTTGTCTCCCAGGTCTGTCACTGGTGGTGTCCGGCCATGTAGCGTTTCTATTCATTTGTCTCCCAGGTCTGTCGCTGCTGGTGTCCGCCCTTTTCCGTTCGTCAGGTGATTTCTGCACTTCCCCAAACAGTTACTGTTAGGGGTTCTCAAGGCTTTCTAGGACTTCTTGTTGGTCACTGTGTCCGTCTTGTCTCGCTTCTGTTTGCTTTTGTCTCCCTTCTTGTCCCCCTTCTTGTTGGTCATTGTGTCCGCCTTGTCTCCCTGTGTCTCCGGTCTTCTCCCCCTTCTTGTGGGTCATTGTGTCCGCATTGTCTCCCTTCTTGTTGGTCATTGTGTCCGTCTTGTCTCCCCTTTTTCCTTTTGTCTGCGTTCTTGTCTCCCTTCATTGTGTCCGCCTTGTTTCCCTTCTGCCTCCGGTCTTGTCCCCCTTCTTGTTGGTCACTGTGTCCGTCTTGTCTCCCTTCTGTTTCCTTTTGTTTCCCTTCTTGTCTCCCTTCTTGTTGATGTCTCAACAAGTGGACTTGGGAATGCTTCGCTGCTGTCCCACCTGTTTGGGCTCTACGGTGGTGTAATTTTTGAATCGAAACACTTTGCAACTAGAGTTTACATGAGTTTACGACGGAAGCGTCTCTTTGTAAATCCAAGAGCTGGGAGACAAATATTGTAAAGGTTTGCAAGGCAAAGGCAGACACAGCAGCCCAAAGCTTGGACACAGCAGTCCAAAGCTGGGAGACAAAGCAACAGATTATAGATTGCAAGGCAGAGGCGGAGACAGCAGCGAGCTGGGAGACACAGGAGACACATGAAAAGGATTGGAAGGCAGAGGCAGACACAGCAGCATTAAGGTGGGAGACAAATGTTCAGGATTGCAAGCGAGAGGAGGAGACAGCTGGGAGACAAATGTAAAGGATTTGGACACAACAGCACAGAGCTGGAGACAAATGAAAAGGAGGCGGACACAGCAGCCCAAAGCTGGGAAATGTAAAGGATCGCAAAGCAGAGGTGGACACAGCAGCCCAGAGCTGGGAGACAAATGTAAAGGATTGCAAGGCAAAGGCGGACACGACAGTCTAGAGCTGGAAGACAAATGTATAAAATTGCAAGCGGACACAGCAGCCCACACAAGGCGGACACACCTAAAAGCATTGAGAACCCCAACAGTAAACTGTTTGGGGAACTATGCCCCAAAAGGGGATGGACATATAAGGAATATACTGTAAATAGAACTAAGCAAAACCGCGTATGATCAAATCTCCGTGCCTCTGCAGAACCGGCCTGGCTGGGTGATTCACCCTCCAGCAAGCACAATCATATGCAAGGAGGCTCTACTAGGAGGGCAGGGCAAAACCTGGCCTCGCCTACATCTGTACAATCCATGCTTGGCGCGGCATTGGTCTGGGACAAAGGACATGCCGCAGCCAAAACCCCCTTTGCTGTGACTTCTACCGGGCTTAAGGTATGTATCTTTTTAACGGGATGCTTGACATGTTTTGTAACAAGACTCATTGGTTTGTTATTCGACATGCCTCAATCTCACTCAAACTCCAGCAACCTACAGTAAGTCTTCTAGCAAGCAGGGAGACATGTCAACTTGACACACGCTTGTGCAAGTTAATTACTGCAAAAGCTGCAAAGCTTGACGCTTTCTCTGGTCATCTCCCTTTCATGCCTACCTCTCAAAGCTTGTGATTCTGGCAGCCCTGAAACATGGAACCTTGAATTTAAGACATTTATGACTCATGACTCTGACCATGACCAGGAAGCATGGATAGATTTAACAAATGCAATGTCCGAGCATGAATCAAAATGGGCGCCTGGTCAAAACACCAGCGATTCTATAGACATCCAGATTTTGGAGGAGGGCATACGCCTCACGTTGGACAGTCCTTGATTCTGGTACATGCTGCCGGGAATTCGGGTCTTTCATCCTGACAAAAGAAACCTCGCCGCTTGTGCAGGTGGACATCAGCTACGCCATGCTACGCCTCATCCGCTCGCAAATGGTTCCAACATGTTCCAACTTTTGTCATGGGTTTGAACATGTTTGAACCCACTGCCGGCATAGGTGAAGATCCTCCGTCACTTGTGGTCTCTTCTGTTCAGGATTTTTGCTGACCAGGGTGCCTGACGGACGCCTTGCCTGCATCCTCAGCATTCTTATCCAGACACCGCTGAGCAATTCGCTCCCTGCCCAATGGCTGCAAGCATGGGGCTCAGCCGGGCAGCGTCTGGTAAAGACTGGAGCCTTAGTCAAGCGGCATCCACTTGGATGAAAAAGACTTGCCAAGTGGTTGTTACAACCCTGTGCTCAGGAGCGTGAAGTTGCGCAACCCATTTTCTAGATGTTTGGACAACTTGTCGCCTACAAAAGAACAACCCTGCAAGAAACAACCTGTACAATTCTGCAATCTAACTTAGGCACCCAATTCCAGTAACAATGGATGACGGTGGTTCCTAAAGATGTTTTTCCAAAATTGCGATTACAGTGCTGCACCTTTAAACTTTAAACCGGCTCCGCATTACAGGTCATGGGCACGCACCCCAAATCTAAAAAACATGGCACATGCTCAAGTTGGACTGCCAACATGGTAAACAAACAACACGCAACGCATGCAGGACACGCATGGTTTGATCTGAGCGCACAGAAAGTCACCAAATCCATGCTGTACAGTAGAGACTCAGCTGTTTCAAGTGATGACAGACCTCAAAAGGAGTTGAACACACAGCCAAACCCACTCTGCAAACACCTCGCTCATTTCTATATTGAGCTTACCGATAGGTGACCACGAACTTGGGAGCCGCCCTCCCAGCACCTACTTCGCTCGTGGTGCTACAGTTTGGAAGTGTTGGCTGAGGGCTTTAGTATCCAGAGTTTGGGAGAGTGTTTGCCGCACTGCAGAATTACCGGTTTTTCAAGGAGCACAACATCACATTGAACGAATGTTTCTCTGCAGTAAGAACATCCAGCACGCCTGTTAATAAGCCCACGTACCTGTCATTTGTCTACGATATGACACAAGTGGCCCTCATGGGTCAAGCCACCCCATGTTGTAGTACAGGCGGATGTTCTTAGCGGCTATATCGGGTGGGTGCTTCATCTGCAAGATGCGTGTCGGGCGGATAGTGAGACTCTCCAGTTTCTCAGGTCTTTACCGCCATTCATCGGACTTTTGAAACGTTTCTGGAGCACACATGGGGAAAAAAGGTAGCACAAGTATACACAAGTATGATGTAGGAATACATAAACAAATCACCACGAAAATGATGTCTTGGTGCTCTATGATATGTTATTTGCACAAGCTGTGCAAATGCAAGCAATATTGACAAAGCACGTGTCCAAAACACACTCCAAGTCCCAAGAGTGAAAACTACAATAAGTGGCTGGCAGCAAGCCATACATGACACAAGATTTAAATCACTGCCCAAAGCATCCCATAGCTGAAGCCAGCATTCCCAAATATGGATGAACAAAGTATTCCAACTACCCCATGACCCTCAAAAACCAAGAAGCTCAATGGAAAACACATCATGTTCCATGAGGAGCTCTTCCACCTCATACCTCCAGTCGCGCGAACAGGCGACAGTGGATTCTTACCAGGCAACTATACATATAGTATACTTGAAACTTACACCAAAAAAAACAACACTGCCGTCCAAATAAAGAGAACCAGCACATTTCAGAACCACAGCCTTTCTGCGGCTTGCTTGTGCTTATAAATGCAATACAGTATATACACACCTTTTAATTGTCCTGGTATACACTGATACACTTGTATGATCCGTGCAGCAACCCGGAGAACAACATGCTGAGGACCCGGTCGTCCAGTACAATTTTAGGAGGGAGAACCCTTGACCCTGCACAATCTCTGCACCATTGAGGGGGCTTGCTGGGTGAAGATATTGAAAACTGACAGCTGAAGGTTCTACCCAGGGCTACCACATCACACGATATTTTACACAATCCTGTCATGCACAAAAGGCAAAGCAACAAGCTGCGACCGCAGCTTGGCTTTGAGAGGGTCAACCTCTGCGCCGGTTGTCACCAGCATTTTTGTGCCGGTTGTCACCTAGGTGACGGGTGTGGCACGGGTGTGGCCATATATGGCCATATATTGGATGAGTCTAGCACGTGATCAGCTGCCCTAATCGACTTCAATCGATCAGCTGGCCTCAAGAGTTCCTCCACATTCTCCGGCAGAAGGAGCCATCCATCCTCCACTTCCAGAATTTCCTCGTCCAAGACCCGGCCAATATTCACCACGTGCCTCACATATGGTGTTGAAGGAAAAACGTGCTGAACATCGAACTCCCTGAAGCTCAATCATGTTGGTCGCCGAACCCGGTCTGACCGGGCCAGACCGACTAGAGTCGCTTTCATCGCTGCTCGACCAAGAAAGCACCAAAGGAAGGTACTTGAGTGGGAAGTTCCTCTAAAAATCAGACCTCACCTGAAGCTCAATTTCGTGCGGCACTTCTTGTCTTCGACCAAGTAGTTGTGGACATAAGGAAAGCACTACCTGGCTGGCAAAATGGAGAAAAACTCACCATCACAAGCAACATTTGTCATTTGCTTCAAGATTCTTTGTTTGCCTTGTACCTTCTGTTGCATCTTTGGTTTTGTGGTGACCTCGTCAAAAACACCACGTTCATTTAAGGGGCGGCTCCAGATTTTAGGCCATCACCCGCAGCCCTGATTGAGAAAATGAATATGATCCACCCCCTTCCAGCTCTTGCTCTTCTCTGCCTCCGACGCGCTGTAGGCAAAGCGACCGATGGCACGTGGGGTCCAGCGGCTGAAGCCACGGCGCGCGGCAACGGCGCGTTTGGAGAAGATCAAAGCTCTCCGAGCCCTCTGAAGAAAAGCCTTGCGGCGGGATAGGAGGATGGGAGGTCAGAAGTAAATCCCATAGGAGGATGGTGTCAAGATTGCTTTCAGATTGCTTTCAGCATCGATGGCTGGCATAAAAGGGAACAACATGTTATATAAATAATGCATAAATATATATATATATACATCATAATGGTTAATGCTAAATAGGATGCGGACAAACTCCATGCCAGGGCCCAAGCCCAGATTTGCCTGACGCCGCGTGATAGTCACCGGGATCAGTGGCCAAGCACAGGACACACTAGAGAGCTGGCAAAGATCTGGCATGGAGATATCTGGGGAGACACTTTCTGGGCCGTTGAACCATCAGCTTGTTCGGGCTCTTGATTTCCAATTATCTGGTGACGCAGCACAGTGGAAGGTGCAATCCTGGTTTCTCGCCAAGAGACTGTGGGGAAACTTGGAGCCAACTGTTCTGCACTCGCAGCCTCAAGGGACGCAAAGGCTTGCTCAGTTAAACCTCCTTTTTCCTTTACAATAATGATACTTCCCACCTAGCTTTACCCCCAGGATGGCAAGGAAAATTTTGTCTAGGACCAGATGCCCCCCTGAGACATTTGGAAACCATCTGAAAAAAGGCAACGACCTTCCGAACTTACTTGTGTGTTGCTGTGTTCGTTGACTATCTGTTCATATCTGTTCCATAGATTGCGCTCTGGTCGTGCCCACGCTCAATTCATTTTGACTCAAGAGGTGGGCCCCATCCAACTTTTGTCGACCGATCATCGACCCAGCGGGCAGTGTGTCAAAGACATGTTTTTCACGCAAAGGGCAACATGCGACTGGAACATGGGCAAGAGACTATATAGTCTTGGGCGACCACTCAGATAGATCCTTGTGAGGTCCTTGTTTTTGGAACCAATGACAAATGGTCATGGCCAGTCTGTCTGTCCAAACAAATTCCTCTACAAGCAGGGGCTTTCCCACCAAACTACGTGGCTGGTACGGTAAAGCTCTTGAACATGGCTGTGGCCTACCACAACGTTGTGGCCTGCTCCAGCTGCCCAAGAGCCAGCCCACATCCTGGCCAGTCTATGGGACCAGTCCTTTAGGGCTCGACTGTGACATCAAGTGTTAGATTTGGCTTGTGAATTGGTGTTAAAACTCCCACTCCCACAGTATGTCTACCGACCCAATCCTGCACCGCTATGCCACTGAGGCTCCGCAGGTCTAGATTTCAGGTTGGTTATCTCCGTGGCGCTGCACTTTACCCAACCATATCAACATAGCTGACATAGCCGAAACTAAGATAAATAAGTACCTAAGCCTAAGCCTAAGCCTAGCATAGAGTCTATGGCATAGAGGTGTCAAGCAGGACAACGTTGGGATTGTAGTAAGCTCCATGCGGCAAATGTCCCATCTACGGCTGTGGACCGTGGCTCTATGAGTCGCCTGCCGTGGCCAGGCCCAAAGCGCCAGCACGGCAGCGCCACAAATCCCTCCGGACGTAGCCCAGGAGCAAGTCCTCGTCGATCTGAAGCCATCGAAGGAAACCGGACCAGCGCGGGAGGTGTGTTACCTTTGAACCATGTTGAATCTCTTGTTCAAGACAGGCTTGGTCAAGCAACCGGTACCATCAAGTTTCGCCCAGATTAATAAGAATATATATATATATACGGTCATCATATATATATATATATATAGTGGTGGACTACCACTTAGAATTTCTTAAATTTCAAGGGATGCACTTAGAATTAGGATTCAACTCTGCAGATAGAATGCAATGGACGCTTTTTAGTAGTAAGAATTGTTATTTGTTCGAGGATTACGCACTTCGAACTAAGAATTGTGCCGTTAGAAATAACAATCCATTCATCCAACATACATTCAACCCATGCATTTTACCAGCAAAAAAACTACCAAAAAACGATGCCTGTCCTTTCCTTATCTTTACACTCTGCCCTTCTTCCCTCAAGCACCGCAAGCTGCGAGTCATTGGACGCTCTCATGTCTGGCAAACTCATGCAATCTTGCAATAACCTGGCCATTTCAATTCTTTAATTATATGTGGGCATTTTAATTCTATCTGTGTGTTCTTTTGCTTCAGAAAATTCAAACTACTTTTCCAGGTTTCTAGGAATGTCCTAGGTTACTAACTGTTTTTTTCCCCACTAAAAATTCTAACTGCTAGCTGCTAGTAGTCCGCTACTATATTAATATATACTCAGGTAACATCACGAAACACAAATGGCACCTCAGCCTCAGACTACAGAGATTGAACATGAATCATGGAAGAAGTCCACTGATACCACTGACCAGACACAAGGTGGTTCATAGAGGCTCCTTCTGAAAGGATCATAGATAGTCACCCCATTGCGGATGTCTTGGTGTAAACAACCCGATTTCGCCGATAATGCTTTGAAACAACCCGCTGATGACACAAAGGTCGCACATGGTGGCACCCCGTCCTGCCCAGATCGGAGGACCTCAGGGTTCCATGATGTCCTCTTCCCGGAGAGTGCGACGCATAAATGGTTCATCGCAAAAGGGTGTTGATGAGGTTCCTCTTTGGTATCAAGTTGTTCTGCAATCAAGTCACCTCCTTTGCATCCAACCCTGATGGCCCATGTCAGGGGCATGTCGGCATGTTTCTGACAGTATTGACAGTTCTGTTCATGCTCGCCGCATCCCGACACATTTGTGTCAACTGATTCTGGGGTCCCCCGTCTTGGGACCAAAACCCAACTCACCACAATTAATTACTATGGACCGTGATCCACTATCAACGTTTGAATGCTCGACACTGGACACGCCTGAACATGAAAAACTTGGTTAGATAGCATGATGTAGCCTGTCACATGTCAACAGATTTATGCTGAACTCCGAACTCCTTTACTAACTCCGCGCCCCAAATGGATCTACAATCGCACCTTCACCGGATCGCCCGCGATCGCCCTTCACCGGCTAGGGCCTTGACACAAATGCTTGGCGCCACCGCGAGAGCCGGCAAAGGCGGTGTGAGTGGCACTACAGCTGCCGTCACTACTAGGACTGTGGAGACATGGCCCATGCCAGAGATGACTTGCCTCAGAGACGGAGTGCAAGCATTCCAGGAACAAAAAGCAGCGCCACGAACCCGAATGCACACACGTATGCGATGAAACAAACCCCCAAACCTCCTGGACAATCTTGTGGGAGACTCTTGCAGAACACTCTTGTGGGACACTCTGGTAGGGCTGTTTTGTCGGACACTCTTGTAGGACACTCTTTTAGGACATGACAATGATGGTTTGACATTCGACGTGCCAACCTGATTTGAGTGGCACAGCGACAACCACATGCACCAAACATCGCAACCTCACGATTCAACTAGCTGCCTCCAACATCTGCAACACGTACAAAGCACCGTGCCTGCCACAAAAAGTGATTATATGTGTGATCATTTGACTACGCCGCACCTTGACATTTCCCATACGTTTGGAGTGCTTTCGACATATGAAATCCCTCAAAGTCGCCACTTTACCCGAGACTTGTCACGAAAACGCAGCTTCGAGGCAAGCGTTGCAAGAGCAAATCCCAATGGCAAAGCGACATTAGATACCTCCACACGACCACCCTGAGAACGCCCAAGCAAAGGGCAACACTGCATCTGCGCAGTAAAATCATCCTTCACGCTTCGCCATGTTACAGTACCCTTCTGCACTACTTCGCATGAATTCACGCTTCATGCTTGCATCCAGGACCTCGGACCTCGTCCCAAGCTTCCCCCCGTCCACACAGGGAACCGTGGCCAACAACACTCGAACGGTCGGTTCGACCTCCAGACCCCCAATTTGCATACCTTCGCTATGCCAATCGAGATGAAACACCAGATGTATCCATGTGTACCACCAAAAAAACAAAGAAACAACAACAACAGCAACAACAAAAGAATTGAAGAACGTCATGGAGTGCCGTTTGGGACCAAAAACACCGAGGTCCCGTCAGGACCGTCAATTTGATGGTCGAATCAAATGGACCCCACACCGCCAAACCAACCGTCAAGGGCTTGAGACGTCGTTCAGGCCAGGCCTGGAGCGTGCATTTCAGGGTGTAAACTTGTTCCATCCCTGTCATCATGTTCAGCTCTACTGTGCTTGTATTTCAGCACTTCACTTTGACCTGCACCTCTATAGCCTATAATTGGGATGCTTATGGGTGATGCCTAGGGCCTAGGGTCTTTCAATGCCAGCCGGACATTGGCATGCATCTGGAACTCAGGCTCCATTGGCTGTAATGCGATTTGTGCTCAAACTTGAGGGAATGATGTCGATGACGGTCAGTTTGATCATTTGCCTGTCCTTCCTTGTTCTTGTCCACACTGCTTCCATCCCCCTTCCGTAAAGACATGTCGCTCCAGACAACGCTGCAACAGCTTCTGAGCTCGTCGGATGACTTGACACAAAATCGGTTGGGCGAACCATGGCGAACCAACCATATAAGCGACTATCATGATGGGCGCGCCCCACAAACCGGCAGGAGGGCTCCGGCTTTGTGAAGCATGCCATCGATTTCTGGAGGGAGATCCTCATGTTTTTTCAGCCATGGTCTTTATTTCAGCTCGTTTTGGTTTCGTGCCCGGCGTCTTCACCCAGTTGCTCGCAGCGTCTCTCCAGTGTGCGAATCACCCTGGCACCGCCCAGTCAGCCCAGTCAGCCCAACAGGCAACGGGTTGGGGAACCGTTCGTTTGGTTTTGGCTGTTGGATTGGTCGGAAATCCGACCATCTGGGGAGATCCGCCTTCAAGGGCTGTTGAGTTGTGTTACATTTGTTGAACTCACCCCGAAAACCAGCCAGCAGATTCGACGGATTCCTTTCGATCATCCCGAACTCCGGGCTTCTGATGGTTTTGGGATGTATAGGGTGTGCCACCGCCGCACACCGATTCCCGTCAAAGCAGGAAAAGAGGATCGGACACAATGAATTTGAAACAACATGCAACCACAAATTCCAATCAACATCCAAAGGATCTGTTCATTGGCCGCTTCATAACCAGGACTATGCCGTCACAATCTAAAGGACATGCCGCATCGTCTCAAGCCACATCCACCTTTAGCACATCCTTGGAGAAGTTTCTGGCCGTAAGTGGTGAACTCTCAAAAAGGACAATTGATTCGGAATTGATGGGATCATTCGGAATTGATGGGATCATTTGGAATTGATGGGATCATGTTGAGAAGCTGCTTTCTCCAGACTTGAGAGCGCTCTGATCCTGCAAATCCTTGATCCCAGGTGGCTTTGCCCAAGCCAAACAGGAGACTGTGCAGGAGCCTGCCCATTCTGGCACATAGCAAAACTGTCCAAATTGGACGGGCCTATACTACCATACAGGTCTTCAATCTAAACCCTGCATATGTTACCTTCATGCTTCCTCAGCTTGCTGCTGCACTGCTATGAATACAATTTATGATGTTTGAATTTGACCCGTTGTTCATTCACAAGTTGCCGGTCCACCACCAAAATCACCAACATGTCACCAGTTCGGCCCATCGAAACCACCATCAAGAGGGTCTTTGGTTTCTTTTCCTCCTAAGAACCGGCCCATCTCGTCCCCCGTCTCCGACCTCTTTCCGCACCTGAAGGGCCGGCCGTCGGCATCGTAGGCAGGGGAAGGTCAAGCCACCCCATGGAAGGTCCCGGGGCTCGCGTGCCTCGGCTGGGTTTTTTCCGCCCAGGGCCTCTCGGCCTCTCGAAGCCGTGTCACGCCAGAATGGGTTGGATCCGAGGTGTGCGGCGTGGTGTGGTGGGTCACAGATGGAGCACATTGGCGTCACCAGGTGGGCTGACTCTGACGGGGGCACCCCGCCGTGCACGACTCGTCGCGACGCTTCGCAAGTCAGAGGTAAGGTGGGCTGACTCAAATTGCACATGAGACTTCGTGATAGTTCTCAAACGTTCCCTGGAATACCTGGAACATTGAGTTCTTTTGACAGAGCTATAGCTTTTGACCGTGCTGATGAGGGTGTCTGTCTGGAGCAGCCACAAAAAAATCCTTTCCAACTCCAAGGATTTCAAAAAGGGTCAAGCATGGTCAAAACATGAGGGGGGAAGTAAGTTATAGTTATAATACATTGCATCACTGGCATTTGTGGGAAGACCATGTTTTCGTTTCATGGCCGCTGGGCCCAGGAACTCGAAGTTGACCGCTGAGGAGACCCCAGTGAACAAAAGCTTTATCTTCACATCTAAGGTCAGTCAGGGAGCAATGTCAGCTACAATCTTCCGGCCGCAGTGAGGGCAAGAGCACCGCAAGGGCATCCCCAGCAAATGGCTCAAGCATCACTGGAGACCCGCCAGCGACTCTTCGACCTTGTTTAAGTGGTTAAGTGGCTACTCATACAACATTAGTCTGTCCAAATTGATTGTTGTGATAGGGCACTGCCCTTGGATTTGTAGCTTCATATATGCTTCAGCCAAACTTTGCGGACATATTAGCAGCTACCAATACTGGCAACGATTGCTGTATCAACTGGAACACATATAATTGCAAACATAGGGCAAAGTGGATGCACCGCCGATTCTGCCTCATTTCAAACCACTGCTGGATGAATCGAGCAAACGACTAAACCAAAGTGCAACCACCCTGGCAAAGGCCAGTTTAAAAGTCGATGATGTTCCAGCTGGCATCATATTGTGTAAAAAACTATTGTGTGGTGTGTGTGTGTGTGTAAACATCGAAGAGCAAACGAGTATGGTTCGTGGTCATTCAAGTGCATTCACGAGTGTAAATGCCAGGTTGCGCGCATGTTGCTTTGTGCTTTCTCTCCCTCACAGGTTGCTAAGCTCAATTCATCCCTTGAGAGGGGGAACAGTTGGGAAACCTGCAGCCATGAGCCCCGCACCATGCGCGCAAACCAATGAAGTGAGGCAAAACACCTTGTGCCACGTGCGCGATGGCAAAAGGAGAGTCTGGCTGATAAAAGAGTGCAAATGGCAGGATAATATACGGTATATCATAGATATATATATATATGTATATATTATATAACTATACTGTATATATATATCATATATGCCGTATGCATATACTATTCACCCTACATATCTATAAATTGTCAGCAGTTTATCAGTTTATTGTCGATCCTTTGGATGGCGATCCATGCAGCCACTTCTTTGAGCCCCAAGTGACATCTATCAGCTCAGCTCTTTTCCAAACGAGGAAAATAACAACAAATAACGTCTTTGCCCAACTTCAACGTCCGTTTGATGGTTTCTTCGCCCCAGAAACATCGTGGTTGCCTTCGGATGTCCAGAACCCGAAAGGGGCGGAGCAAACAGAGTGCACCCAAATCTCTGCAGAACAAATCACATCCAAAGGAACAGTAATTCCAAAAATGATATACTACATCCAGATTACCAGCAAAAAACGTAGCAATGGATGATGATGGTTTAGGTTTCAGGCATTTCCGCGATACACACCTGTTACTGGTCTTGGCATAACACCCTAGTTCAAAACCCTGACACTCCACTTGCTTACTTTGGGACATATTCTAGTCCCATCAATTGTCTCCTCTGTCGAAGGACGTTGACCAAACTTCCCGGCTCTGTGTAGAGATACGGCAAAACCAGGGCTACCTCGACGAGATTTCCCCCTAATCAAAGAGCTTCACGGGGGTATTCCTGGAAGCCCCCTGACTGGGTTCTAGTATGTTGGTGTTTTATTACCATGGACACTCCATGTTAAACAAGTAACAACTATGCCTACACTGACAACTGAAACCGTTCCAATGTATGCATATATTCCATAGATCCCGTGTCTGAGCTGGATGATTAGAAAACTATTCACGGCAATGGAAGATTGACAGTGTCAAACCTCTGATCCAAAAAACCGACCAGGTGCCACCAGTGACCTGCGGATACCTGAATTCCTGAGCGGTTCTGAGGTGCCGAGCATTCGATTCAAGCCTCAGCATAATAGACCGGTCATGTTTTCTGAGTCAACTATAGTCAGCTGGTGTTTTGACACAAGTCGAGCGTAAAAAACACGAGACGTCACGAAACAGTCTCGGCTTGGAAACATTATTGATCATGATTGAAACTTCTTTACATAGTTGATCAACAGTGTTACTTGATCCAGTCCCGCCGTCCACGCTCCCAACAATGGCACCTGTGCTTTTCAGTGCTACTCTGGCGAATCCGGCGACATCTCTTCACTTCCAGCACTCTTGGGGGAAGCCGCTGCGCGGCGCGCCTCCGTGGGGTTCGGCCGGGTCCGAAGATCACAGTCGAACAGTCAAAATGCGCTGACCGGTAAGTCTCGTTTACAAACAGTCCTCGCGGTATATGGTGATGTAATAGTGATAGTGATAATGCTATAATTATATGCCTGAAAAAACACACAAACATGTAATCAAATCCTCCCTGGGCTTTAAAAACCTGATTCTCACAATGTTGCCTGAACCTGGTCCATGCGATTATTTTTTTATGTTTGCGCGACACAACTGTAAACGGAAAACGCAGCAAAGATCTGCACAGGGAGGATGCAATTTCATTGGACCCCCCGGGCGATGGAACAACTCCATCCTAAAGTTGAGGCTGTTGCCTGCAGGTACCTCTGGAAAAAGACTGGAGGCCGTTTCCTGCTGGTGCCTCTCGAAAATATTCCGAAGGTCTGTGCAATATGTGGTTCCTTGCTTGGCAAACAAACTACTCTCCGGCTTGGCCGGGTGGACATAAACGTCAGTCAGCTAAGCTGAAGCCTTCCGTCCAAGATTTGGCTAAATATTGGATCATTTCATTGAGGTCAATCGTGCCGTCTCCATTGGCATCAATGACGTGGAACACCTCCTGAATACGATCGCCTGGGAAGGGTTTCACTTTCAACCGACGTTGTCCGACAGTCCTTGTCATGATCGACGAAAATGGACGAAAATTGCAACGCGCAATGCAAACACGCACTTGAAGTGGGTGCCTTACGGTTCAACTGAGATCGACATCAAGTCAACGCATGAACCGACGGCTGCAGCCCAAGGGCTGGGGACGGTGCCTGGAGCACACTGCTCAAAAGCATGCCTTGACTGCGAGTCTGCGCGAACGCGTGCGCATGGGGGACGTGCATGGCTTGACTCCCCAGGGGGCGCGGTCAAATGCGGGGGTTGACCTGAATCGCCAAGTGACACATTCCAAGGACAAAAGCGGACCTTTGTATTCAAGTTGATCCTTTGTAACCACGAACCGGACATCCCTACTTGCGCTCTAGTTACTTGCGCAAGTATAGCTCTCCCTCCGATCCCACCGGTCTCTGAGCCTAACCGAAGCGGGTCGCCAGCCGTCGCAAGCGCCGATCTCTGGCCCTCCACCCCGCTCCACCCTTCCGTGACAAACTCAAGGTACAAGAGTTCTGGCAAGTCAAGGCTTCCATTCCTTAGACCACAATGAGGAAGGAGCGGCACCGTGTGCACGGTAGAATGACAAAGCTTTCTAGCATCTGCCGGTACAGGAGAAGTCTGGTGCGTGAGGGAAGCTGGGGCCAAACGTCTCTAGACCGAAATAATATATATCCCAAACACTCCACGGGACTGGAACATTTATCTACATACAGTGATACCTTTTCAACCACCCGCAATGTAGGTAAACATGCCATACATGGAGTGTCAAAATATCTAAGTGATGGTTAGCAAAATCGGACTGATACATATGTTGCATATCTACGAGATATGCCTCCTTGATGTTGAAAGGCATTGTGTTGCACATCCCTGGGTGTTCATTCATCATGCCTGACAGCAACCGACGATCACGGTCATAATAGTCAGAAGCCACAACAACCCCACGGTGCATCAAACCTGGTCTTGAAGCAGCTCGACCTGATGCACGCTCCCAGTAGTGCATTCATGTGCATCCTGTCCCTTCTCGCTCAGATTCCGAGATGCACACCGCTAAAGATCCCAAAGACTGCACCATGGTTGCTCCATACAGTAATTCCAAAGGTGGGTCACTCTATGGTCATAGGCCAGCGGCTAGCGGCTGTGGCCGAGGCTAAGGGTAGATCACCTGAAGGGTACCCCGTATAGGGACACCTGTATGGGGCACCTCCTCCAACAAACGCCGTGCATTAAAAAAATGCACGCACGGGTTCTTGACTTCAAGAATGAAACTACATCAAAGATTGCAAATTAAAGGACCGGATAACCCCACATATGAGTCTTTACGAATCTAAAGTTTCTAAAACACAAAGCAGTCAGAGTCTCAATAGCTTCTACAACATGGCCTTGTCAGGAATTATATCAGAATTACACAACAGGGGTGGGAGAGAGGTGTGGGAGAGTAATGTGCACGGCGGATGTACGAGGTATTGTGCAGACATGTGTGTACAGCCACAACTAGCCGAAGTAAAACCCCATCGCTCTGCCGACGTAAAACCCTATAGCCAAGGTCTTTTTCATCGCGCAGACGAAAGCAGGTCGTGTTCGTGAACCTGGGCGTCGTCATGAGTATTAAATTACATGCAATCTGCGTTGTGCCTGCCACGAAATCGGAGTGCAATCTGACGGAGTGCAATCTGCACATGGAGGTTCTGACGGCGTGCAATCTGCGGCCTGGTAGATCCGCCACACTCTCTGCAGCGAAGCTTGAGCACTCCGGGCGATTCAGTTCTGTTTTGAAACGTGATTCTAAACTGCAAAGTTTCTGAGACACTTCTGAAATCTAGCCACGTCACGCCGACCACGCCACAGCCCCTGCCACGAATTCTGCACATGGAGGTTCACAAAGTGCTGTGCCTGCCCCGAAATCTGCACATGGAGGTTCACAAAGTGCTACAGCCAGAGCCTCGAACGGAGCATGGAGGTTCACAAAGTGCTGCACCTGCCACGAATTCTGGTGACGTCTCGGTGTGTGTTGTCACAAAGTGCCGCGCCTGCCACGAATTCTGCACGTGGAGGTTCACAAAGTGCTGCGCCTGCCACGAATTCTGCACGTCAAGAAACAATGAATACTCTAATCACAATGGAGGGACGGACCGGCGACCACCGCCGACAACCGCAGACAACGCAACACCCACAGCCTCTAACGGAGGTTCACAAAGTACTGCGCCTGCCACGAATTCTGGTGACTTCTCGGTGTGTGTTGTCACAAAGTGCCGCGTGCCACGAATTCTGCACGTGGAGGTTCACAAAGTGCTGCGTCTGCCACGAATTCTGGTTTGTGTGATCTCTGTGTGTGTGATCTCTGTCTGTGTCGTCTCGGTGTGTGTTGTCTCTGTGTGTGGTGTCTCGGTGTGTGGTCTCTGTACGTGTTGTCTCGGTGTGGAGGGAGGATGA